TTTTTTGACGATGTTAATTTGTTGTTTTAAAAATGTAAAACTTCCATTTTTGTCTCCTCTTGAAGCATGAGAATCCTCGGAATACGTCAGACAGGGTTTCTCGACTGTTGAGAGAAATTTAGGGAGTCTTTCTTTTAATTGTCTTTTCCTTCGTACGATCGTTGATCGAAGTGTAGCTTTTATTTTTAGTTTTGAAGACTGTTCTGAGATGTTGATTCAACGCCGCGCTTGTCTCTTCGTGTTAACAAAGGCCCGAATGATAAGAAATAAATTTGCAGTGTACAGATAAATTTCACAATTTTCCATCACGTCGATCGACCCGAGTCGAAATTCAACGGAAATATCACTAATTATAATTGTTGTCGATAAACAGTCAATACATAGATTACAGACAGATCGATAGAACGATATTTTATCGGTCGATGTTACAAGTAAGTTCCGAACGTCGAAACGTTTTTTACGTTTTTTACGTTGGTATCATAATTTTTCACGTTGCGTGCCATGCAATTGTATCGACAGCCCGAATTATCTAATTTTCACAGTGTAACAGGCCCGATCTCAAGTGCAACGCGCTTTTCAATCAGTTCCCGCTGTACTTACATGCGAAACTGCTTTGCCATTACGCCTCGATCGCTCCGTCGACAAGTCACAGTTACGTCCGCGGACCAATAAAATTATTCCAAAATTGTCCGATCGAATAACCGAGAGCGAACGTCTCATTCCAGGAACGATCTCTCGCTTGAACGCTACGGGAGAAGTGATTTTCATGCCACCGCTGTACTTATGCCGCTTTGTACGTACACGGGGAATCGTATCGGTTTCAATCGGCCGTGCGAATCCTACCGAACGGGAAAGAGATTTTCAGTTTGGCCGACTGGGATCGGCGATCGGCCGAAAATTGGCCGAAAGTAGCCGGTGGCCGGGGTTTAATTTTCGCGAAAATACGCTCGTAAAGATCGTCTCCTTCGCTCCTCTTCTGGATAGTCATCGTCCGGAATGAATAACTCCGACCACGTTTGCCTCACGTGTACGTCCTGCCGGTCGCTGGAAGCACTTCCAGATACTAATTTCGTCGAGGCTTTTGCTGAATTATATCCTTCGTACGTACCCCGTTCCAATCCTTTCCTTCGCTATCCTTCTCCGTTTGCGTGGCCGTTCCTTCGATTATTTCTTTTTTTTCTTCTTTCTTTTCCTCTCCCCCCTCGCTCGCCTCGCCTCGCCTCTGCATCCTCCTGCAAACTACCTCGCTTATTTCCACCGCGAGTGGGGCACTTAAACATCGTTCGCACCGAATAATTACGCACGTTAGTTTCATCCTTCTTCCCCCGTTCTGGCTCTCTCTCCTCTTCCTTCGATCGTCTTCTCTTCTTGCTACCGCGATTTTACGAGGCATCCTTCGTCGTCTTCTTCTTCTTCTTCTT